TTTAACTAAAGTGGTTAGCTAATGTACTCTTAGCAGCGACTAAATTTTACAGACAAAAATGTCCTCTTTTCAGGGCTGCTACAATTCCCGCCATTGCAAGTGGGGCCTCTCACATAATAAACATTCCTGCTCGCATGGAGGGACGATACGTCACTGTTGTAATTCCAGGGGAAGGCAAGATTCTGTCACTCTGTGAAGTGGAGGTGTATGGCTACCGTGCCCCAACTGGTGAGAGATGTTATGCAATATTTATAAAATGGATAGTGAGATGACAAGTATTGAAACTATTTCATTTGATAATGAGAAAATGTACAATTAGTCGCATATTGACTCTGTCACAGAAAAGGACGGAGAAAAGTTAGATTTCAAGTTACATACTTGAAAATTTGAAATGTTATTTTCTTTAACAGGTGAGAACCTTTCCCTTCAAGGAAAAGCCACACAGTCATCGCTGTTTGAGACTGGTATAGCATACAATGCCATAGATGGAAATCGCAATAATGAATGGTCTAAGGCTTCTTGTTCGCACACAAACCAAGACCTCAGCCCCTGGTGGCGCCTGGATCTGCGCAAAACACGCAAAGTGTTTTCCATTAAAGTCGTCAACCGGAATATGCTTGAACAACGACTACTTGGAGCAGAGATCCGCATTGGAGATTCTCTTGATAACAATGGCAACAACAATCCCAGGTACTTTTTTTTTTGTTAAAATAACTTGTTTGATTTGTAAAAGGAAAAGGATTATACATAGACTTAGAATAATACACTTAATTCATTATGGTTTTCCTTAGATGTAGTTTTAGACTCAAGAATATAGTAATTCTTGGTTATTTTCTGCTTCTTTTGACAGATGTGGTAAAATCACACCATCCGCTGGAAAAAGACTTCATGAGTTTGAGTGTGAAGGAATGGAAGGACGTTACGTCAACATAGTAATCCCTGACAGAATGGAGTGGCTCACTCTTTGTGAAGTGGAGGTTTATGGCTCCACGCTTGAATAAAGTCTATTAATGGCATTACAATTCAGTCTCAAATTACTCTGCTTTGTGTTTTCTGTGTAGCTACAGTATGGTATACTGTAAATGATATGTTTTTCACACTTTTAATTCAGTTTTTCCACACTCCAATGTTGACCCCAATCTGACAGGTGTGGATGAGGATTCGTGATTGACAGCCTGCCGATGAGCTGATGGCTCATTCCCTTCCATGTCGAATGTTATATTAATGGGCTGTGGGAACTACAAAAACTTTGTGACCATATTCTCTGCAGCATGTAATTAACTGCTTGGCAAAATCCTGTGAAAAAAGAAAGAAAACTGAATTTAAAGAAACACAAAGAAAAAAAAAGCAGAACTTGACTAAAATGGATTTGAATCTGACAATATAAAATCTGTTTTTCAGATTATGAAGTAAAACATTTGATCAGTTTCAATAGTCTCTTATGTTCCAGGGTCGACAGGCTAAGAAACCATTCAGTGACTGCAGCATCTGAACACCACTATACCAATGAGACCAATGAATTTGCAAATTTCTTCTTTAAAAAAAAAACAATGATTATAGTAGCAGTCTGTAAATCATATTAAGTCCAGTAGCAAAGTTTTCTCCACCAAAAATTGTAGACTTACTAATGTCTTACTAATGTCTTCTTTCACCTATCTCAATGTTTTACAATATGCTTATAGATTTAACTCCAAAAATAAACATGTCCATTTTGTCAGGGGTTTTTTTTCACCCAGGGCCCTTAACACAACAATTGGGACAACTGGCATTATTGGACCTTAATGCAGCAATGATTGTTGATTAGGACTGGGGAATGCATTGCGATATAATCTCTATTTAACAAAATGCTAATTTGGGAACGTTAGATTTAACAAGACTACGAGATAAATAAGAGCGTACAAAATTTAGCACACAGCTTCAGTAAATACTGCTAGAAACCACCAATAGGGCTGGAAATCATGGTGTACAGTACTAATGTCTTCACCTGAACCTTCAGGAAAAAAAGATAATAACAAAGTTGGCTTTCAATCACCTAAAAGACTATTGTCTCAGCGGGAAGTTGAAAAACTATTTTGTGCGTAAAACGCACTCCCCGTCTATTCCTGTATATCAGAGAATAGACGTTAAAATACTGTTGCTAGTCTATGAATATCTCAATAACTTAGCTCCAAAGTATATAACAGACTAGCTGTCAGTGAATCATCCATCCGGATGTCTTAGGTCTTCTGGCTTAAATATACTTTGCATACCTTGAACCCAAACTAAACAGAGAGGAAACATTCAGTCCTTATGCTCCACTTATCTGGACAATAAAACTGGGCTGAAACTTGCAGTTGCTTTAAATCTAAATTAAAAACACATTTGTTTAGAATGGCCTCTGACTATGCTAGCTAAACATCATTTAAGTTTTCAGTCTTTCTTATCTTGAATGATTTATTTGATCTCTATTTTTAACTTTTCTCTCCAATTTTTGTGTTGCCTACACACCACTGCTGAGTACTTTTCATTTTGTTTTTCCTCATGTACGGTACTAAATTGTCTCTGATATACATTTCACTCTTAAACTGTTTAGTTTTGTTTTAATCACACAAAACCGTAAAAACTTATTCTGTCCTGATAAATGTGCAGGAGGGCTTTATGAATTTGGTCCAAATCTAACTTGTGAGGCTTTACTGTTGCATGGAAAAGTGCAATTTTAGAGAGCTCTGTGTATAAGTCATAATCAGAATTGCCAACTCTGTGAAAAGTAAAGTGAAACTTCTTGGTCAGGCATTATTCTCCACCCTACCCGCATGATAAATCTAATTTTGCCTGTGTGTGAAATGATTTTGTAAACATTTAAATCGAAATCAATCATCATGTGATGGTTAGATATACAGTCTGAACTTGAAAATGGTCTGCACACTGAAAAACTTTATTCTTAATTTAAGAACTATATTTTTTTCTGTGACATGACTCATTTCAATCAACAGTTTCAAATTATTCAAAACAGACCGCCAACATCCCCACCCCTCATCGGTGGATCATCTTAGCAGGCAACCAGATGTGCCATAATCTGCCCTGCAGCTGTAAAGTTGATGCACACCTGCTGACTGATGAAGACTTCAACTGTTTGAGTTAGTTGCTAAGTCTTGCTACTGGATGCACTTTGTTTTTTTTTTTTTAACAGCAGTAAAATTAGCAGTTAATGTAGGGGCTATAACTTCAAAATAGATGTATGTATACCAAAAACCAAGTGTATACTGAGGTATCACACTAGTAGATTTATATGAATGACAACAATAAAAAATATAATAAAAAGCACAAACAAAAACGTAACTGTCTTAATCCATGCTTGGATCCTTTGTGACAGATTTTCATCACCTGGTTGGCTTAAGGATGCTTATGAAAGCTAGAGGAAATTCTACTACTTCACCTTAACTTTATTTCTGGTAAATCAGACACAAATGTGAACAGGTTTAAACTCAATACTAAAAGTGTTTAAAAAGTGTTTGCACACTAGATATTTTTTTGCAGATATATTTCATATCTTCAAACTGAGTTAAATAAATCCTAAAATGTGGACTTCATTCAAAGATTTTCCTGTTTTCTGTGTGTATATGTATTGTATATATATTGTTGAACAGGTGCTGTGTGTGGCCACTTGGAAGAGCTACTAAATTTCTCACCTTTGGATTTGCAAATGAATTTGATGTTGGTGAGCTAAAAGTTTTGAGACCATTTAAAAAGGTGCACAGAAGCTTTAACATCCAGAACGCCTCCAGATGAAAAGACAAAAGAAATTGCATTAAGAGGTTTCATGTAATTTGTCTAATCAGTTTAATATGTATCATATTTCTTCAGAAAGTATTTCTTAACTTTGCATAGCTTAGAGAGAAGCTATTCCAGTAACTTTTAAATTTAAGGTAATTTATTCTGTGTTTGCAAAAAAAAGTCAACTACATGAGGTGAAAGTTTTCTTTTAAAATGTCTCTATATACCGGTAGCCTAAAACCAAATGGCACCAAAACACCCAAGTTGGGCTTTTTCTTTTTTAAACTTAAAAAGTTTGACAACTATTTAAACACAAAGGACTGTTGCAGTCTCAACATGGATCCGATTTTTGATTCGTATCGGGTTCAGGAATCCGCTATGAATCTGATCTTTTAAAATGCGATCTGTGTGTAAATGGCCAGATCTAATTCATCCAACCTGTATGCAACACTCAACAAAGGTCACCTTTTGTTTTTCCTTCTTCTACGCAGAAGCAGAAGAAGGAAAAACAAACATGTCAGACGATAATGCAGAGAGCAGTCTTTTTTTTTTTAACCATCTTGAAAAGATAGTTTTTAAGGTTAGGCTAGATGCTCTCCAGCACTACCATCCATGTTTACCTCTGTAAACACAGAGCGTGCTTGCTTGTGACGTCATCGTGTCCTTTACTACTACGCTTGTGGGAAACAATCTTTATGAACGCAATTCACACAGAGATCACATGCAAGCTGCATATATTTGGAAATGTGAACGGCAAAGCAAAAAAAAAAAAATTGGATTTCACAAACAAAAACGGAATTAAACATGAAGGCCTGCAGAGTGAATAGCAAACTAATGCATGTTTGAAAAGTATGCCCCCTATGACATCATAAGGGGAAATAAACTGCCCAGTTGGTCTGAAGCAGCCCATCAGTCAATATAGAGCCTTCATCTATTCTATAATTCTTATTCAAAGCTCCTATGCCATCTTTACGAACGTTCGCTGATTGTCATGGTTCTGGGTCGTGGGGGCGTGGCCTTTGGGAGGACGGGTCATGGAAAGCCAAAACAGCTCGCCCAGAGGAGGGCTGAATAAGGACATTTTTGGTTTATGAGTTTTGCCTAATATGTGAGGAATTTTCCTTCTAAAACATGCTCTGGGGGACTCATTGTTGATATATTTTTTATAAAAGTAAAACAATATGGGACGTTTAAAATCAACCAAAGTTGTTATTGCTAATATATTGTGCATCTCTTTTTTTTATTTAATAAAAACATCTGTCATGAGGTGGAGTACCCTGAATACGTAGTTTTAATAACAAGACTTCCTTTGGCAACAAACACAATTAGAACAATTTTAAAAGCTAAACATCAGTATTTTTACAAAACAAGTATAAAAAAAGTTTCACCAGGGCAGTTTGGAGAAGTATATACATTCATCCCTAAAAAAAAGAAAAGGGAATCTTTCCAGATTACAACAAAAGTAACAAGGTTTAAAATTGGTGGGATCCTTCAGTAATACTGTATGACATGTAATAGAAAACAGCCTCGGAACATAGAGACATCCTAAAATCTTAAAGTTGCATAAAACTGCGCACACAAATAAATTATAAAAATACTGTACTACAGAAAAACAGTTTTGCTGTGCATAACAACAGAGGAAATGTTCTTTTTTTGTCAACTTTGCAAAGAGTATTGCTTCACAGTATGTGGACATCACTGACAGAACGCTTACGACTGAAACGACACTTGAAATGAAAACAGGAGAAATAATACGGACGCATCCTTTAAAACAAGGAAGAATCACACCGGAGCCAAGGTGACGTCTTGGATGAGACACGGTGACACCTTTTGGCTTTCACATGGACCCTGACATGAACACAGTGATGAGTTTGGATCAGAAAGACAAAGAAAAAAATACGGCATCATACGTATTGGGCAGTGAGGGCAGCCACTGAGTTATGGCATGTAATTTTTTTTTGTGTCATACAAGCAGAGACACTGCAGTTTAAGTTGAGGGAAGAAAGAAAAGAAACAGAAGTGTGCAACCAGAAAAAGTTGGTCTCATCAGTCCAGCACTGTTATCTCACATCTTTGGGGACTTTGAGAACTTTATAGATGTCATTGGAAAATACTGTGTTGAAGTAGGGCCGCGAGTTCCTGGACATGTGGGTGCAGAAGGGAGTTTTTCCAACGTTCTCAGGGTTCTCTACATCCCAGATCTCTGGCATGCTGCAGCCGGGTCTAAAGAAAACAGAAGAATGAGGAAAAACGTTTGTCTGCTTTGATTATTCCAGGATAACCAGAGGGGAGGGGCTGTGCTGGATGGACGGAGCCTACCTGGTCCGTCTGGTGCACCAGGAATCCTCCAGGACGAAGAAGTCCACCCCCAGTTTCTTTAGGTTTCGTTGAACAGTTTCTCCAGTCATGCGGCTATACATGGAATAAACCAGCTTGGTTCTCTCCCTGTGTGATTGATGAAGTTGATCAACTTTACGGAAACATGAAATGCTGACATATTTAACTGTTGGATAACAATGCACTGCCAACAGAATCAGATACATAATTTAAATCAGAAATATCAAGATATGTTCTTTCTGCTCATAGAATGTGTGAATCGGTGCAGCTTAGCTAACCTGAGACCGGCGTCTTCGTAGTGGGGGTGGTTGACAATAGGCCGCCCAGCAGAAAGCTTTATGCTGGCCATGGTAGGCATGGCTCCGGCGAACACAGAGTCTGTAAAGGAGTTTCAAAATAAGGTTTTTCAGCGGTAATCTAGTCACCTGTAATTAATTTAATTCCTGCTTTAAACAACTTTGAAGAAATCTTCTGAGCAAGAGCAAAGTTTGTAATGAAAGTGGTGATGGAGTGTCACCTGGGCGGGTGTTTTCCTGGATCCAGTCCAGCAGCTCCTCCTGTGGCAGGTTGCTGAACTCTCCAATGATTCCCCACTGGGCCTGCAGGTTGGCAACTCCCTGTATCGCCATCATCGCCATGACTCCAACAACTACAGCCTGGTGCCTGAACTTCTCACCTATCCACCCAAACAACTGAACAAAGGAAGGAGAAAGGGAAACTGTGATGCTCAGCACACAGGTAGGGTATCAGAACTTTGGACTATCTTGGAAGAATTTAACCTCTTTCAATGATTAATTTCCAAAACTGACATTAGAAAACTATCCAGTCCAAACAGAAACAGAAGGTTTTAATTATCATGCTTCCTGGCCCAAATCCTTCCTTACTGCCAGCCCTATACGGAGGGTATTCTTTGAGATAGGGCCAAGGATCTTGTTGGTCTCCATCTACTGACACGCTCTCGCCCCTGTGTCCGACCTTTCAGACATTTTAACATCTTTTTCTGAATCCCACATTGTAGCATGGCATAGACAATTCACGTTTGCAGTTTGAAGAACACCTGCTTGCTTCTGATGATTTCCTTTAGCTAACCAATGAGTGTTTGCGTTATACGAATCCTCCAATTACACTAGTTTTCACTAGATTAGGATGGCGTCAATGATCTGCATTGGGTGGCGCACATGACGTGAAATAAATATTTAGAAACATTAAACCGAATCCAAGACTATAGAGTACTGTTTGTTTTAAAAATGTAATGAATAGAAAGTACAGATATGAGATGTGAAAATGTAATGAGTGGAAGTCAGAAGTAGGAAGAGAAATAAGTAATGGAGTAAAGTACAGATACCTAAAAAGTCTACTTAAAGGAATAGTACACCCAAAACATGATTAGCCTTCATGGCTAATCATGTTTTGGGTGTACTATTCCTTTAAGTACAGTCACTAAGTATTTGTACTTCGTTACTTGACACCTCTGGCCCCCGGGCAGCTACAGCAACAGTGTAGCTTGCCATTATCAGTGTGATATTGTAGAGAGAAGCTCTTTGGAGTCATTAGATTTGATAAAGATTTATAAAAAATGTTGAGGTGACAAATTTGATAAAAATAAAAATCACACATTGTATTTAGTTAAAACTTAAAAAAAAGAACATACAGAAGCTGATTTTAAAAATGTTTTGGAAAGGAGAGTAAAGCTGTTCTACAAAATTAGCTCCCATTTACAAAGTCATATCTGGTTTGGGTATGGGGGGGTTCTGTCTTCTAATAATTTCAGAGCTTTATGCACTTATTTAAAATAAATAAGATCAAAAAGAACAAAAATCGAAGGGTGTGCACAGGGCTTGTGCGGCGATTCCTTCCAGGTTATGTTTATTGGTGTTGTGCACTGAAAAAACAGCTAATTTAGCAGTAACCTACTGAGACTTAGCCTTAAAATATATTTTGTCCATGACTATCTTGTGTAGAACTGCCCTGCCAGCAGACCTTTCTATGATTGTGTCAGTCAATAGCATATCCCGCTCCCAAGCCACTGTATGTTTATCTTTTAAAAGCTGTGAGCCATATTCATGAGCAATAAATGCTTAAAAAAAAAAAATCACACAGAAGTGATAATGGTCTTCTTCACTAAAATGAAGAGAGATTATGAAACACAGGAGACCAGGTTAATTAAATGGATAAATGGGATGAAGGCGTAATCTGCTATACAATAATTTTTACTTTTTTAATGTTGTAACTGCAAATTGTTGATGGGGAAAAAATGCAAATCATGAATTGATACGTTTTTTTATGTTTGGCATAATGTTTAAATGTATGTACACATGACTAAAGTTTCTGGTGTTTTGGGAGCAGAGGCTCACCTGTCGGGAGCAAAGGAGAGACGCCATGATGCACATGTGAGGAGTCAAGAAGAGCTTCAGACGCATGATGAGGATGGCCAGGACGGCAAACGCTACCAGCTGTAGGCTGTGGTACACCATCTGCAGGACAAGTTCACAGAGAAATACATATAAAAATATCATTATTTATTTATTATAAAAAAGAATGCTTTACTATAAGGAAGTCCACAAAAAGTAGGCAAAAGCCTTCAGCCAAAATGCTGCAGCCAAAGTTCTGATGAAAATGAAAAAGAGAGATCATATCTCACCTATCCTGGCTTCTCTTCATTGGCTTCCTGTTAAATCCAGAATAGAATTTAAAATCCTCCTTCTCACATATAAAGCCTTAAATGGCCAAGCTCCATCTTATATCAGAAATATGATTGTTCCTTATGTCCCTAATGCACTTCGCTCTCAAACTGCAGGTTTACTAGTGGTTCCTACAATTTCCAGAAGTAGAATGGGAGGCAGATCTTTTAGTTATCAGGCTCCTCTCTTGTGGAACCAACTACCAGTTTTAGTCCGTGAGGCAGACACCCTGTCTACTTTTAAGGGTAGGCTTAAAACTTTCCTTGTTGATAAATCTTATAGTTAGGGTGGCTCAGGTTATCCTGAGCATCTCTATAGTTATGCTGCTATAGGCTTAGACGTCTGGAGGACATAGGGACCCCCAATTCATCATTCTGCTTCATTTTATCTCTATTCTCCCACTCTGCAGAATCTATTACTTAATCTATAACGTTCTGCTCTCTCTGCTTTTTCTCATAGTAGCTTCTCCACGTCTGTTCCTGTTTGGCTGTGACACCGTCCTGGAGAGATGGAGATGATTGTATCTCTGCTTCTGCCTCTTTGAACCCCAGTCGGTCTCTGCAGAAGGCCGCTCACACTGAGCCTGGTTCTGCTGGATGTTTCTTCCTATTAGGGAGTTTTTCCTCTCCACTGTCACTACAAGCATGCTTAGTTTGAGGGAGAGCATTCGAGTCAATGAGTCGATGCAATAAACTGGTTTTCCTAAGATAGAAAACTTTTAATCAATTTGTCTGGATGATCTGGTTGAATTGCAAAGTGCCTTGAGATGACATGTTGTGAATTGGTGCTATATAAATAAACTGAATTGAAATTTAAATGCCAAGCTAACTCTTTTATTTAAAACTTTCGTAACTACTGGTTGTTACTACTACTACTTGTTTAAATACACTTGAATAAGAAATATAAATTCAAGTTTGATATGTTTTTTCATCCTCTCATGCAAACAGGTAACAAACAAACAACCTCTAGCACAGCTGTAACTTCTCTTAAATTAATTATAGTACAGTGGTGAGAAAAAACATTTGTGTGGCATGGTAACAATAATAGCTGCACTTATAGGTATTTTTTTTTTTTGGGGAAGTGGTGTCTCTTATAAAAGCAACAGTAACACAGCATTTCAGAAACGGAACATGACACCATCAGCACTGCATGGTGGTGGTAGTATGATGGTCTGGGCCTGCTGTGTAGGAAATGGAACCGCTGACAGTAATGACAACAAAAAAATAAATACTAATCTCTGATTTATATTTTTTTGTGAAATCAAACTGAAGGAAATTTTAGTTCTGCAGCAGCAAAATTATAGATTGGCCTAGTTAAAGTCCTTACCTGAATACTACAGATGTTTTTAGAGGTGCTGAGACGAGGGGTTAACTTTTTTTCCTTCTAATGTGGATGATTTATAACAGCTTCAGAGATCAGGTGTTCCTTCACAAAGCTGTACAGGACTCCTTGTAAGTAAAGTAAGCACTTTTTGCTGCTTCAGGCAGCCCGACCAGTCAGTAGGTTTAGGAAGAAGTCATTTTTTAAACACAATGATGGATTTCTGTTTTCTTTTTCAAATCAAACATTTTCTTTTAAACCCTGTTTTTGGTTTGCCAGTGATAATTTTGTCTAAAATCCAATATCTACTGAACGACATTTATTTTTGTTTACACTCGGTGTACAAAATGACAAATAAATCTGTCTAAGTCTATAAGTCTAAATCTATTCAAGGATCTTGGACGTAAAATGCGTGAAAAACAGAGAAATAAAAAAGAAATGCTAAATAGATTAAAAGTTTTTCACACTACTTTAGAGGCTGGATACTAAAATAAGCTTTTTTTCTTTAAACTTTTGTCACTGTCAGTTCTGCTCAAACTCTGCTGTGGATGAACATCTTCTCTGTACAGCGAACAATATAGCAGAAAATTACACCAGACAGCCAGGAGAGAAGTGGAATAAAGGACGCAGAGTCAATTTTCACAGCAAAGGACAAACTGCTTTTCATTTTTGGGTAGTGATGACAGGGAAGAAAATCACTTAGGGAGACATGACAGAACAGACTTCAAAGCCGAGGAGAAATGAACTGAAATCTACAGAAAATGAGCTACAGAAAAGGAACAAGGCAATAAACGGGATCTAAGAAATGACTCAGTCTGTACACAAATAAAACACAATAATATGTGAAACTTCATTTTCTCACCTCTCCTTTCGCAGCTACATCAGGCCTGCAAAAAAAAAACAAAAAAAAAAAACAGATGAGAATAGAAACCCTTTTCCACATGAGACAAAATCTTTCATTAGAAACACAAACACAAAAAAACAGAATGGAAATGTTTAGAATATTATAAGAAGGATAAAAATAAACAAAAGCAGAGAAAAGGAGTCACCCTGTAGCTTCGTCAACATCTTCCGTCTTTCTAGACGTCTTTGCTTCTTGTGTTAGAGTCCGAAACAAATCCTGCACAGTCTGCAGAGGACAGTTAGGAGTGTTAGCACCGACTCATGGATCTTTTAATGTCGTGATTGCAGAAGTTTATTGGATGTTTCTTGTAATAACACTCCTTCTACAGACAGCTTATGTTGCTCTGCCAAAATGATCCATGTATTCTTAGTGTAGCGTGGGTAGGGCATAATAAGATTAAGCTAAAGGAAGCAGTCACCTCATGCACCCCCCACCCCGCTCATATTTTTCATCATCAAGAAAAAACCTGCTGGTATAAGAATCTGAAAAACATGTTTCCTTTTCACAGAAACAAAGCTTTAGCAGAGCGGCCTTATTCGTGTGGATTTATTAGATCAGCTGCTTATTTTATTGCAGCAGTTTGGTTTGGTTGTGTATAAAAGAGCTATAAAAGGGTTTTTGTCTTTATGGTTGACAGCACGAAGTGCTTCATAGAACAGTACGGGGTTTACAGTGAGACCTGACCGTATTATTGCTTAATTCATGATGCCACACTCAAGTTACTTCATAAAATAATAATAAAAAAAACATTCAATCACCCTAAAGATAAGTACTTTAATTCCTTATGATTTTAGGTTGCTTTACAGAAGGTTGTAGCTCTGGCTTCCTTAGGTAAGAGTGGGCTTTTTACTTAGTTATGCACCTGATCTTGCATGCGTAATTCTGCATACATACAGCAGATTATTTGATTGCAATATAATATAGTTTTAATTCAGTCCAATTTGTTTGCTGCAATGTCAAGCAAAACAGTAATATCAGACTGGAACCTGATGGTTTCCTTTATACGTGCATGTCAGTAAATTAGAGGATCTTTAAAATGTAAAAAAAATAATTTGAATCAATCAACCCCTAATAATATTACTATATAATTTATATTCATCACACAAAGCGATGTGCCTTAGGCTCCTTTGGAAGTTGACTAAACATTCAGCATTTCTCAGACTAGTCAACCATTCTCTTTTCTGCATAACCTTCAGTTTGTATCCTGCTGTTTTTGACCCCCATCTGAGGTGCTCTACTAGCCAAACACACTTAATTAAAACATTGTTTTGTTTTCTTAAGTTAAAAAAGGAGTTTTTAAATATCAAAATAAGTTTTAAATCATATGTAATCTTTATTTTAAATAGTTTCTCTCTGGATTTCGAGATCTAAGCAGTTAAGATCTTGGAACTGAACATCTAATCAAACATAAATTCTTATCAGCATCTTTAATATCTACCGTAACTGAATCTTTAATGGATATCTATCGATAATATATACACTTTCAATATATCAACATATTTTCATTATTTCTGCTGTAGTATGCTGCTGTCAGCCACTTGTTTTAATTATTTTAAGAATCTCTTGTAGTCAAACTACAAACCATAGCTCAGCAATGCTCAGAGCTTCATTACATGCGATTATTAGGATCCAGTTAGGGAAACAGGTAAAAATATCCTGACTTGTGGCTTAAGATGTAATTCTAAATAAAGTTTTTTTTTCTTAAGAGGATTATATAACAAGTTTTTTATAATAACAAAGAATTTGTATGTTTAAGTTATTCAAAGTTCTTTTTGTGTGGCAGAACTCACCCTGCCTGCAATGAGCGCGACCACCAGCAGGTTGATGGGCAGCAGCAGCGTTTTAAGGTAACGGACAGTCGTCTGCGGGAGAAGGACGAGACCGGAAATATTATTCAGCAAAATTCGTGGATTTGAAAATGTTGAATTAATCCAAACTTCTGCAACTATCATCATATATTTGAAAAGTAACCATTTGTTGTAGAATCAGTACAGCCAAAAATGAAGACGTAAAAGAATTACTTTCATTTCTTGAGGAAATAACTGTTAAAATAAGAGGAAAAAACTTAAAAAAAGAAGAAAAATGCTAACATCTGTGTTATATATCAAGGACATAAGCAATATAAATCGGGTAGATAATAGTGAGTCTGCTTTCATCCTTATACTTGTCAAGTTGAAAAGCGTGCATTAGCCTCTCTGTGCTGCCTTCACATCTTCCACACAAAATCAGATCATTCAGCTCACAGCTCAGCTGAGAACAAGCTGTCAAGTTGTGCTGCCAGGATTTTTGTTTCCTGTCAGCACAAATCTTGTTCCATCTGAAGTTTGACACGAAGCAGCAAGCGTTTTAACATTTCTGACATCTGTAAAGAAATCCTGGTGACATTTTAACAACCACTGACGCTGCTTGTTGCCTATACTGAGCAGCTTGGACTTGCGATTTGCCATCAAATATTTCATTATTCAGTAGCAGAAACATAAAAAACGGCTCTGGTGAGAGAAAACATTTCCGTTTGTCTTGCCTCAAACTCCATGAAGTCAAACTCAGCAGCACAGGTGTACATCAGAGTGTGGAAGTCTTTGTAACTTGTGAATTTGGATTTGATCAGTCCACTGATGTGAGCCTGGGAGGAAGGAAAAGTAACGCATGTGTTTTAAAACAGAAAGTGCCTCCTCTGCCTAAATACCTGATTTTACATAGAAATGGGTTGAAAAATCACCTGAGTTACTTAATATAACAATTTCCTACGTCAAACATTACAAAGGGTAAACTTTTACATTAGTAGCTTCACAAAGTGTTTACTTGGATCATATTTTCAAATAAATTACTGTTTTAAGTATATATATATATATATATATATATATATATATATATATATATATATATATATATATATATATACCAATACAATGTCCAAACATCACTACCAGTATTCAGACATGAAACTTCAGTGTCTTACATCATCAGAGGCACCAAACACAGTGGAGAGCAGAAATTTCAGCAGAACTGTGGAGCCAACCCAGGCTAGACCCTGCATGACCTGTTGATGGAAACCCAAAGTATTTATCATCCACTAGTCATCAAAGTCCTTCAGTTATAAGTAATAAGATTAAGCTAGGTAAGCTAATAAATAACATACTTAGGGCTGGGCGATAATTCAATAACGATATATATCGATCGATAGACGTGTGGCGCAATAGAAAAAAAGAGGGTCGATAAAAGTTCGATAAAAAAGAAACGTAGTTTTCCTTCCTTCTCATTGTAGCCTAGCATGTAGGTTTATGCTAGTCACTGCTTCCTTCCAACCAATCACAATCGCGGACCCAGGCACGCCGTCACCAAGCGCCGCCCTCTCAAACCACAACACAGAGCACATGAAGATGCAGCAAGGAGAGGCGGAGGAAATTCTTTCAAAGAACGGTTTTTGCAGTTCGGCAGTCTGGCAGTATTTCGGTCATGGCAAGTCGGACCAAAAACAAACCACAGTCATCTAGGAAAATGTGTAGGGAACCAGTGAAAACCAGTCTGATAACACAACCAACTTTTTTTTTTTTTTTTTATCATCTCAGCCGCTCCCAGCCGCAGGAGTACGAGCTGTGTAGGCCCCGGTGCGGCTCTCCTCCGAGGAATCTTCGGAAAATATATATATATATTTTCAGTTCTGGGCAGTTTCCCACGTAGTTCTAACAATTGAGATAAAAATGCTGAGGGGCCAGAAACTTCAAAGTAATAACTCAGGTTAAAGCAGGAAACGGGGGCGGCGGCGGTGGGGGGGCATTTATTTATTTGTTATATTTATTTTGGTCACTTTTCTGGTCACTTTAGTTTATTCTTTGTCAGTATTTAATAACATAACCCAGGTCTCTTAAGTTATTTTTCTTTAAAACAATTCTGTTATGGTTAAAAAAGTTGGTTAAATAAAGATTTAATTCAAAGTCTGTGTTTGTGTTTTTTATTAAAATTAAATCATTTAGCAATATTATAAAAAGTCCAGGCGGAGCTGCACATAAAATATGGTTTCAAATCTTTTCAATAATTATCGATATCGATCAATATGCATTTTTTTTTATCGATAAGCTTTTTTTCTATATCGCCCAGCCCTAAACATACTATAAACTATTATGACAGACTCTGTGTTACATACAATTCACATCATTTCACCTCCCTTTGTAAGCCTGTAAGAAACCTCCCCAAACACCAAAACAATAGAAATAATAAAAGAGTCAAACAGATGAGAGTAAAAGAAAAAAAAGAAAAATCCTGAGCAGAACATCTTTATATAAAATGGGGATTGAATTTTAGAAAAAATAAGCGGTTTTAACATAATCCAAGAGATCGTTTACAACCAATACTACTACTATGATAACCTGTAGGCATTTTATTAAATGAACGTCTCTCTGCATTTTTGTGCCAGATAAAAGATCGGATGTGCATAAAAGAAAATCAGATCTGTGTTGCTCAGACTTCCATGAAAAGGGCAAAAGAAAAGAAAATTTGGATTTGGGTCACTTCAGGCTGCAGTGTGAACGTAGCCATAGAGTACCAATTAAGTTCTAATAAACTCTGATTTACTGATGAAAATGTGAACTATTAAAATAAGCTTAGATTACATTTATTTCAAAGGCACTGTTGAACATAAAAAATCCAGTATTAACAGCAGACGTCACTAATTGTTGCACAAATGATTACAGTTTAACAAGGGATTTATTTCTATTTCCATCTTTTTTTGTTTTTAATCAATCTTAGATTATACTGCTAAGTAAAGATGAACACAATTTAAGGCTCTTAAGACATCTACACTGGAGGTTGGCATTCAGGTGGGCTTGAAGGTTTCCATACCCTCCCATTAAACAAAAAATTATAAATTCAGTTTTGTGGTAATTAAAATACCACAAAACTGAAAAAAGTAATAATAAATAAAAGTTCACTGATGATAATTTAGTAAAATAATATATTGATTGTGAATTTTTGTTTAAAAAGAACTTCTAAAAGACAAACTGTTCCAGACAAATTAAAGCACAATATATAATGCATCTATAATAAAAAAGACCAGGTCAAATGATTTTTAATTAAAACGTTGAAACTTTGGCTTTTCTGTTTTTTATGTAAGCACAATGTAATTCTATTTAAAGTGTCACCACATAAAATATGCTTAATCCATCAGAGTACAAGAAAAGCGTTAGGTTATTTCTTCTCACCCAGATGATAATGCCAGGTTTGAACAACTGGATGAACCGATCTCTTAAAGCGATGATGACCTAAAACAGGGAGGAAAAAAAACAACAAACACCTGTTTGAATCTCCCTTGGAATAAAAAAATACTGATTTTTATAAACGCAGATCTGGTTAATTTGACATGTTCACACAGAACATGAAAAACTCACCCATATGGAAATGAGAGAAGAGGCATAAAAAGATGTGAGAAGCATTGAGTTCCCAAACATCAGGATGAAGCAGAACCCCAGCGTGACCTGAGGAAAACAGAGTACAAATATTTATTTAACTCCTATTGAAATCTGAGCTTTCACTGCCAACAGCCAGTGTAAACACAAAAGAGAGGTACAGCTTATCAGTGTAACTTCAGGACAGATCAGGTAGGGAAACTTGCTTTACAGCTGAAAAATGATCAACACAATCGCTCAATGACAGGATTCAAATAAGAAAAGATTGATGCAAATATCACTTAAAATATTAGACTGAAGTGGGAGAGAACAATTATAGCTCATCATATTTTAATTTACATGAATTATGGCTTAAATAATAAAGGTTCTTCTTCCATCTGTTTGGTCCTGAAACGGTAACCAGATTGTAGGAACTGAAATTCTCTCTGAAGATGGTGATTAGGTGAGATGTGAATGGCTTTCACCTTTTATGTGACTCTCTTTAAAAACGTTGCTATATATCAGATAATTTACTACCCATAATTTTCTTTTTACTACATACTCTGCTTCCAGCGGTCTGAGCAGCATGTATTATAGTATCTCTGCCTGGGTGAGCAGGGTGGTCTGCTGCGTTCCGAGATAGTAACGGATCTAACTATGTATTATGCTATGAATTCATAGCCATGAGCAGAAAATAATCTCATTTAACAAATCCCTGAAACTTAATTCCAGTGAAGTACAGAAAACCGAATCACTCTCCATTACACAGATGCTGATTATCAACTGGGGTTGCTGAGAATTGAGGGGCTCCATATTTCCGCTGATGAAGAAATGTACGATTAGTGGATTAGGTTTTGTAATTGAGAAGAGCTATTGACACATAATACATATATACATACATATATATACACATTACCATTCAAAATTTTGGGGTCACATTAAAATGTCCTTAGTTTTTGAAGAAAAAGCACTGTACTTTTCAATGAAGATAACTTTAAACTAGTCTTAACTTTAAAGAAATACACTCTATACATTGCTGATGTGGTAAATTACTATTCTAGCTGCGAATGTCTGGTTTTTGGTGCAATATCTACATAGGTGTATAGAGGCCCATTTCCAGCAGCTATCACTCCAGTGTTCTAATGGTACAATGTGTTTGCTCATTGCTAATTGATGATTAGAAAATCCCTGTACAATCATGTTCACACATCTGAAAACAGTTTAGCTCGTTTTAGAAGCTACAAAACTGACCTTCCTTTGAGCAGATTGAGTTTCTGGAACATCACATTTGTGGGGTCAATTAAACGCTAAAATGGCCAGAAAAATAGAACTTTCATCTGAAACTCGACAGTCTATTCTTGTTCTTAGAAATGAAGGCTATTCCATGCAAGAAATTGCTTAGAAATTGAAGATTTCCTAAAACGGTGTGTACTACTCCCTCTCAGTAGGAATAAGCAGGAACTGGGTCAACCTGAGAAGGCTTTTCTCTGCCAATGGGACAAGGAGCAGAGCAGCAGCTCCTCCAGCGTGCGCACAGAGGGTATGTCGACTGAAAAGCACGTCAAGGGAAGGACGCTATACCTGTACTGACTGTGGCTGCATACTTAACTAAACAGCCTAACTGGAAAATGGGTTTTGTTTCTGTGCTTTGTTTATTTGTAAAAAAGATATAACTGGAGCCAATGTTGTTCTTGCAAAGGTTCAATGTTTTCAGTTTGAAATAACCATATTATTATTAAAGTTCAGGAGTCAGATATATGTACCTACTCACCTTTAGAAATTCATCACCTCAGAGGGTAGCTCTCATCAATATCAAAAGCATTCAACATGGCATAGAGGACACACGTCAAACTGTGTCACTTCTATTTAAGTAGACAAAACCAAAGTCACTGCCGAGCTCTCTAAATTATGCACAGCCATATGCCTTCCTGTCCCAATCTTACCATAAAGGAGCTTTTCCTTATCTGTAGCAGCCACAGACTGCAGCTAAGAGCCCGGCAGGCTGAGGATTAGGACGACAGGAATGTGGACCGGAGGCACAAACTGTTACTTCCCCATATTTTCTAGGCTTATTGTAGTAAAAGGGAACAGTATATGTGTGGAGATATTAATAATGTTGAAGAAACCCATCCCAGCGTCTGCTGGTTCTGTTCTCGTCTTATGTGATATTCTTTCTGCTGTGGAGCTTATTAAGATAAGAACTGGACTGGAAAACATCCCAGCTTGGTGGACATCAGCTGAGAACAGTTTTGCTTTGTGCATCTTAAGTTCCACAGAAATACTTTGGTTTATATCAGAAGATGAATCCACAAATATATCAAAACCAATGATTTATGTAGATAGAGCAATGGAATTACTGTACCATGTGAGTGACAAGGATAGACTGCATCTTTGCAGCAGCAAGGTAGCCCAGGATGTAGGACGCAAACAGAGAAGCCACCTGAAACATAAAAAGAGCAGAAAGCTTAAAGAAATCCACAACCGGTCAGGCTAAAGGATTTGTTTAAGCAAAACAACTGCTTGTAAGAAAGCCTTCACATTTATTGGCCCCCAGTGTCAGATGTGCAATTTTTACCAAAGTGAGTTATTGTGCTCAGACTGAATGTTGTTATCTTATTATATCCTATCGTGAAATTATGCTTCGGCAACATCAGATAAATATGTTTTACAGCACATCCTTAACAGGAATGAAAATACTGCTAAAGCTGGTGGATGTGTGAGGAAAGTTTGTAGTTTCGTGTATTAAAGTCATATGAAGCCGCTCTAACAGATGTCTGCATTTCAAAAGTACTTAAAAGTAGAAATAAACAACACATTCTTGATAAGAAAAACTCCCCTCCCTGTCAAGGACATGTTACCAAGGATGCATTGCAAAGGATGCAAATGGGTTTAAGCTCTGGCTGCAGGGAGTCAGGGGGAGAGACGCTGTAGTGAGAAGAGCTCTGGCTACTTCTTTTCATACTAATTTCCACACATTGGACAATGAATTAGATACAGTCGGGGTAAAGAAGATAAGGGGCTTTGTGTATTTTTTTGACAGAAATATAGCTTGCTGGAAACGTACAAAACATATGTACGTAAAGTTCAATTAATTTTTTTTTTGAGTCAAAGAAAAGCTCAGGATTTAGCTCTAGGCTGGTATAGAAACAGCACCAAGCTCCTGTCTGATTTCCCTTCCTATATCTTCTGTTATAAACTGTGCTGATGCTGGGGCATGCTGGGAAAGTTAGGTTAGAGGAGGTCCATTTCTATAAAGCTACAGCTGTACGATGACATTATAGCAGGTTTTACTTTATCTAATGTAACACTACTTTTTATTTTCTAAGGAAAACTGAACTAAAGATAAAATTGTACTCTGATGGTTAATTTTTTTGTTAGTTAGGATTAGTTGGAGTCTGGTTTGGAAATTTTGAGAGGAATTATAACCTAAGATTACCAGAAACTGCTGGTTCCACCAGATCAGGGCTGGTAGTTTTTTTCTGACGTTTTTACTATAAAGACGTTTGTATAATCAGAACGTTAAGCCCCTGTCACACCTTGACGATTTAGCCAGCGTATGCCTGATGTCCCACAATCTCCTAAAACGCTGGCATACGCTGAACTTTCTACGTATTTTTTCAATTTTGGGCATATATATAACATATTCATAACGAGTCTAGAACTTATGTGCAGCCTAACTTATGAATAACGCACGGCAGCAATGTGCCCATGAAATGTCACAAGCCAGTGTCTTAAGTAGTGTTGCACCAATACCAGTATCGGGCAGGGCCCCGATACTGCACTAATGTGGTGGTATCTGTATTGGTAAGTACCAACAAATAGGGCACTGATACCATTTTGAGAGCCAAAAGTTTGTTCAACTATTGTCACCCATTCCAAGTAGGCAATAAAAAGTTCTACTGGATTCACTTTGTATTAGTCTTTATCCTGCTCTACAAAGATAGGCAGCAGCTTGACAAAGTTATGATGGCAATTATTTTACATCCAAGTAGTATGCAGTTCTTCATATATACACACACACACATCAATTTCAAACAGATGGTATTGGTATCGTATCAGTATCGGACGATACTACACAGCCAGGTATCGGGACCAAAAAATGGCATTGGCGCAACACTCGTCCTAAAGGGCTGGTTATACTCCTGCAGCAGTGTGTTGCAGTGAGCTTGTCGCAGGTATGACACAGACATTTTTAAATTATGCTTGAAATTGAAGCGTGGTTTGCGTTATGTTTATTTGACGCTACAACGCAAAAGGGGCGCCACAGTGTCTGCGGCACTGTCTACGGTCACCTACAATTTGGGAGTGGTGCAGCAGAATGTCTGCGGAGGGGGCAAGGACGTCTCTGCGCTCACCACGACACCTACGCAGACAAACTAGTTTCGAAGTATAAACCAGCCTTAAGGGGAGCAGCGATTCGCCTGAAGGCGCCTGGCCTGCATAAAAAGATTCATTTGATCGCAGTATTTCCTTGGTGGTGTTTGCCACCAATCAAAAAAAAAAGGAAAAATTTAATAAATAAAAAGGAAAAAGAAAGAGTGTTTGCGTTCTCAGCAGATTAAGCGTCATGTCTGCAAGTTTGTTGGCCGTGGCCGTGAACGCAGGGAGGATCCATCACACTCACATAGTACTGATGGTTTCCTCCTGTGAACCCCCTTTTATATCAAAACGCTGCCAACACACCGTTATACAGTAGCTGCAGTTAGAAACACGTTCAGTGGTCATCTGCAACACGTCAGATACGTTGATATGCATTGGAGATAAGTTCTTGAGAAGTTACGCCTAAGTTATGCAGTTACTCATAGGTTTTGGATAGGCTAGACGCCACGACCTATGAGTAACTTACAATTAACGTATGTCAACGATCAGATAACTTACCTGTAACTTATAGCCCCAAGTATGCCATACATCCTTGCCGTATGTCGACGTGTGCCAACGTGCTTCTGCGTAATTTAGCATGCTCATAGCTTATATAAAATTGAGCCATAACTTCTCCAAAGTTACCAGCGTTTTTGCCAGATTTTTCATATGTCAGGCATACGGTGGTCTAAATCATCTATGTGTGACATACAGGTTGAGTAAGGTAAGGAGCTCACACTCTCCACATGAAAAATACTATTTTGAAAAAGTAATAATCAGTTGAAAATAAAGGAAAACCCTTCTTGAGATCAAAAATCTCTTTTTCAAAATGGACCAGGAAGGATTGCAGCCCCATTTACTAGATTTAACTTAACTTAAACTGTTTTAGTTGATGAGGGATTCCTAGACCAACCATCCATTTTGGCCCAGAAATAATTTGTGGTCTTCCAAAATGATGCAAGGATGCATGAGTTTTCTCTTCTGATAACTAAATAGAAGATTGATGTAATAATTTATTCATCTTCCATAAAAATGAAGTTCATTGACTCAACCACTAATCATCGACTAAAATTAGAATTTTTTTTTCTTTATGTGAGTGTTACATAATTTTAAAGAAACAGCAGTAGAAGTAGAAAAATAAAAATGGCATTTTGATACCTGACAGAGTTTCAGAGGAAGGATTCTTCCACTGTTTAGATACATAATTCAGGGACTCAATTAAATAAAGGCCAACTTTAAGATCAGTTCTATCTGTAAAAGCTTGTGAGTCTTGATTTATATAAAAAAAAACATTCATCTTATTCCCTGCGGGCTGGTGAGCCATCTGAGTGGGTGGATGTGTTTGGCTTTGAGTTGATTTTGTATGCAGTGGATGAAGCTAATTTAATAAGTGGCTTTCAAAAGTGAAACACTCAGTGGAAATAAAATGGCTTTTAGCTAACATCCTAGCATAGAAACAGCTCTAATAAAAATACTCAACTGTTCCTCGCTTCAACCTATGCTCTAATTTTAAACTTTTGAATCTGACTTGAATGTTTTTGAGCATTTATTTTAGTTTCACAAGCAGATTTTTTAAAGCAGTAGATTAAAGGATTCATATATCTTCTGCAGCTGCTAACTTTTATTGAGTAAAAGTCTAGAATATTGAGTCAAACAGGCTGAAACTGAGGCCCAGTCTGACAGACTCACAGAACAGCTTGAAGGCATCAGTTTAACGCTATTAGGATCATTATCATTGATGATGTATGAGTTTATTACACCCAAATATTAACTGCCTGTTGTGTTTCAGAACTGTTTTCCCCAGTAGTTTATCTAATTTGGACAGCTCCTCTGTCCAGATATACAGGTATCATCGTCATTCTGGCAAAGATTTGGGAATAGAATGAGAGCAGAGTCCTTCAGCTAAGAACAAAGTAATATTTTGATAACAAGTATGATGTAATGATGTAATGATGTTGCAGACGGGAGATGTATAAAATAATTCTTTAACAGTGAATCGTGGCCATTTCACGAGACGTGAGCCCGGCTGGTAAGCAGCTGCCTTCTGTAACTCAAAGCAACTTCTCTGATCTGAGTAAGATTACAATTTCAATCAAAATCTGCTGTCATGTCTCATGGTTATTTAATAGATATAAATAATGATGTGTTATTTAAAGAGTTTGTCCCGAGTGATCTCTTCTCAGGAAAAATAACCAGAATCAGAAATCTTCAAGGTGTAGACAAAGCTTTCCATCAACAACGCAAAGACCATTTTTATTACCTTTTACATTTTCTCCTGCTTGCAGTAGGAAGGCAAATCACCATCAATAATTTTTTTGTGTAACACCTAATTGTTTGCCTGACTTTACCGTCTCCTTTGCCATCTTCCTACTCAGTTTCTCTCATGCTTGCTGACAGCACTTCACTGCAGTGTCAAGTATAGTATTGTTAACAGCTTAAGTTTTCTCCTTAATCGACCAGGCCTGCCCACATCCTCCTGCTTACCTGAGTGAGGAGCACAAACTGAGCAAACTGCCAAGGCAGCATGAAGCATAAATTGGAGATGCCTAGGGCGACCATGGATGTCCTGCTTGGGTTTTGTGTGCTGTTGAAAGAAGAGAGACAGGAGGTAAAAAAAAAAAACAGCATAAAGCTGAGAATCCATTTGGCTAAAGGAGATAAGGAAAGCTGCATTGAGATGCCTGAGAAAAAAGAAAAATTAGAAGGCTCTATTAAAAAGCATAAAAAAAAACACTGAACCTCATAATTCAGTGTGTTAGACATATGGAACAGAGACCATTTTACATTTACCGTTTAGCGAATGTGGAACAGCTTCCTAACAGGTCTCACCAGAACAAAGTGTTATTCACAAGATGATAGGACATGACAAGATAATGTTTCGCTGCGGTAAGAGCTCTGGCTCTTCTAAGAGCCTCCTTCAGACTGCCACTTAGCTGATAACCGGAGCAGAACTTTGTTTCTATGAAGCACAAAAGCTGTTATATAGTTAGAGACACTGTGGAACATTACACAAAGGGGTTTTATTGGAGTGTACAGGGACGACTTAATTAGAACCATCTCAGTATTAATGAAATCATCCCCCAAAAAGGAATGCACTCTGCTGTTTGGTCTGTTTTAGTCATCAAAGAGTAAAACGATGCTCTGGTCTTGATCAGGTTTTAAAATTATTGACATATAACCAACTGAACCAATTGTATACGGAAACACACAACCCATCTCAGATTATTATTTAAGACAGACAAACCCCCAACAAACTGTGGGTATATGAAGGCATATGTATACATGAACGTATGTATATACAGTACAGTTTGTGTATATGAAAGAGTTATGCAGAGAATTAATTGCATTTTTTGCATCTTTTCTATGAAACACATACCCCATTTACAGTACCCTTGAAAAACCGATCCATGCCGAGACCGGTCCGAGCTTGGATCAGTTAACCAGGCCGAGCTTGGTTCTGACGACCGTATACACATCACGCTATCTTGGTTCCTCGACTTTTCGCCTCCTAGTGACGATCTGCGGTATTACTGCCAGTATTGAAGGAGGAAATCAAGCAGTTGGTGGCGGTAATGCACCAAAAGTTGTTTGCCAATCGCCTTAAAACACAAGAAGAAGATGACGAAGAAGGAGGGAATCAAGCAAATCAAAATGTTTCGTGGAGAAGATTTTGATTGTTGTTTATAGTTGTTCTTCTTCTGTTTTGTGTTGGTTGGGAAGCAACTTCTGGAGGGGCATTACCGCCAACTACTGGAATGGAGTGTGAATCGCGATGTGCAACCAGATGGAGATGACGCGTTCTGCTCATGCGCTCAAGGGTAGTGTAAATGGGGTAACAGTCTGAGCTTGATGAGAATATGCTGTGATGTTCCTCACAGGGAGATCAGCAGCTCTCTGATATGTCCAGCTAATTTTTTTTCACAGAACGTTGCTGCACTAATAGTTGTCCAAATCCTGTCTTTAACCCTTGATGTTCTACTACGTCCGGCTCCCTTGCGGCGTGAATCCCTGGGGGGGGGCTGACAAAGAGTATGCGAACACTGCACAATATAAGCCAGTGATAAATGCAGAAGTGAGACCAAAACAACTCTTCCTATTGATTTTAAGACTGTTAAACCTGCTTCATTTCCCCCTTTTTTTTGCATCCTAAAAATGTTACCGGCTATATTTTACAATGGTTTAGTACACAAAGTGTAAAGAAGCTATAATGAATACATAATTTAAAGCATTTAATGCTCGATCATTATGCTTTGATTACCAGAGTTAATATGTAAAGGCCAGAAATTACTCTAATGCAGGCATCCCAAACCTCCGTGCTCGAGGCACGCTGTCCTGCAGGTTTTAGAGGTTTCCTTGCTCCAGCACAGCTGATTTTAATTGAAAGCTGATTAACAAGCTTTTGGTCTACTGCAATCATTATAATCAGCTGTGCTAAAGCAGGGAAACCTCTAAAACCTGCAGGACAGCGGGCCTCGAAGACCGAGGTTGGGGATGCCTGCTCTAATGTGTGCAACTTCTAACACATTTAGATAATTTTATAAATATAGCAAGATAAGTCTAGCTGCCTTTGGGGAACTGTTTTAAGAATCTGGATGCTGTGATTGTTCTGTTTTTTGTTGGGATGGGGTAATTTCTCTAAGTTTAAAGCTGTCAGGCAAAAAAAAAAATTTTTAATTTATTTTTTCCACTTTGCTGTCTGCTTGACCCAACACTGCGCCGTCCTACAGAGGCTGTTTATGAATACTTCCTTTGATTATATATTGAGTTTGCAGCAGAGCGGGATGCAGTGGAAGGTTACATTTCTCAAAATAAAGCATGGTTTCTGCTTCTCTAAGGTCCCTGCCAATGCATTTCTTCAGAGATATGGAGCTTACACAAACCAGGATACTGTAAACCTGCAAACTACTGCTGGTATGTGGTCCAATTTATTGTGACTAATGGATCCAGGAAACATGATCAAGATGGTATTCAAAGGGTCCAATGGAAGCAGCTGGATGTTCAAGAATGTCTAAGCAGGAGTCACCAACCTATTTAAGGCTGAGGGCCAGCGTTCATCTAACTTTGTACATTCTAAAAGTATTTTAATTGTTTCTTTTAATTTCTAATTTTATTTTAGACATGCTCGACAAATTATCAAAAAAAGAAAAACTGAATATAATAAAATTTCAAACTCAGCCCACTGGTGAGTTGTTCTATTTTCAGAAGACACTGAGGGAAACCCCTGCGGTTCCTGAGGGCCCTTTGGTGCCCGCAGGCACCGTGTTGGTGACCCCTAGTCTAGAGTATAAAGGATATGAATATTTTGATGTTAGTTGACAAAACTCAGCAGAATTATTGTTCAATCATAAAAAAAAACAACTTGTGTGATTCTTGGGGCCACATGCTGCCTACGATGGGTCTTGTTATGATGATAAAAAACATTCTGAACCTGATATTAAATAACTCTACCCACTGTTTTGTATGTTTACCGTAAAATGTAGGTGAGAAGCAGCATCTGCAGGACTAAAAACGGGTAGGCAAAGCTCTCCCTCAGGGGTGGAGTCCACATCACACGAGTGCTCTATTTTCAGACATTCAGGAAAAAAAAAAAAAAAAAAAGCTCAATACGCTTTATAAAATGTCTTAAGCAGCAGCTAATTTTCAAAAAAAAAAAAACTGGTAGAAATATAATATTCATGTAAAGCTCTGACCTAAATTTAACTATTCAATCTTGTATATAGCCCACCGTAGCAGTCCCACTGTTTAATAAACTGCTTTTTCAACCTGAAACTTAAACATTTCTAATCTGCTCAGAAAGGTTGGTGCTGATTTTTTTTTTATATGGTAAAGAAAATAAACTCACTTCACCGTGATTGAAGAAAAAACACAATATGGTGACAACACCACCCAATCGGCTTCCACTGGAAAAGAAACACAAACAAGTATTTAAAAGAGCAGGAGTCAGATGGAAGAAATAGTTTTCTAGTTGATTTTTAATTCTCCTAATTCTTTGGGGCAAAGCAAAGGACAAAGGTTAACTTACCTGAGGTAGGTGCCGTATATAAAGAACAGGCTCATCATTGCTCCATTTAGCAGGAAGATACAGGCTACGTAGAAATACGCCGGGTCGCCCAGCCCTGATGTACACCGAACACACACATAAAAGAGAGTTAAAATCCCAGTTGATTGGTTTGCAGCTCAAGTATGTTTAGAGATGGTCTACCCCAAAAAAAATTGTTCTGGAAGAATATGATCACCTCAGGGTCATAAAAAGCTAACAAAGCTGCAGGGCTTGAGTTTTCCCCATGATGAAGCAACATACTCACTGCTCTACACGCTTTAACATTTCTCTAACCATCAAACTCTAAAATTATACAACTTGCAAATGTGAAGTAAGTAGGTTATATGGCGGCATTTTGTTTGTAGGAGACGCATCTAATATGTGAAACAAGGGTCTCTAACTCTGCTCCTCGAGAGACACTAGCCTGAAATCCTTAGGCGCATCAAACAGAACTGAATTGAACGCTTTAATTAAATCTTCACAATACCTTTAGGTTTTGAAAAGGTCAGGTCTGATCAACTGCACAAAAATTTCTATAGAGCCGTGATTGAGAGCATCCTCTGCCTCAGTAGGACAGTGTGGTACAGCAACTGCACAGGACAAAAATGTATCTGTCCGTGGGTCAGTTAGCTATAAAGCAGGTGGACTTGGCATCTGTAGTTGCAGCAAATGTGTTTATACAAACATATCACCTTAGGGTGGCTGAATACAAATATATGCTTCACATTAAAAGCTGCAAATATTAGCACCTTTATAATCAGTTCCCCTTAATATTTTCAGCAGAATAAGAAAAAAACAGAGTGGACAGTGTTAAGAGTGTAGTGACTAACAGGCCTCCGTGCTTCAACGCCCTTATGTGGCTGTGAATCACAGAGCAAACAGCAGTTGCTCTATATATGGAATAAATACTCTTGGCTCTCTGTCGTGTCATTTTATATCGCACAAAAATGAAAATGCTAACTGACAGTATTTACAGGAAACTAAGGGCAGCTTTGCAGCCAGTTTGTGTAAACACTGTGAAAACAAAGCGTTCACAATAGCCCTGCTGCTTCCACTAATAAGACAGAAGCAGAACAGAGACTGCAGCAGCCACACAGAGAGCTAACAGCAGCTTTCCCTAAGGAACACTATTAAATGGATTCTGAAGCTTTATTTCCTCGTTGTAAACCCCAGACAGCTCTCATCTTTAAGACCATCTGTGAAACCCTTCATCTTCATGCTTTTTTTTTTAACCATAAACATCATCTTTGTATCAGCAAGGGGCTAATTGGAAATAAAAAACACTGAATTCTGTTTCTGGACGCACCGTTTGTACATTGGTATCTGTAAATGTGCCTGATCATCGTCGTCTCATTGTATCCTTTTTCCAGCTCAATCTGCAGGAATTCAATGCACATCCTGGCCAGAGGAGGTGTGGAATCTTTCAGTGCATTCTCAGACTGTTTTCCTCTCTCCTTTCAGTGAGATGTTTTTGGAAAACCTCCAAAAAGAGGCATCTACAGTGTACCCTCATCAAATACCAATACAGCATGAGAGCCAGCTGCCAGTGAAGAACCTTCCCATGCTCATTTCTGGTGTCTGAATTATGCTTCAGAGACATGAAATCCTTATTAATCTTGGAAATTTTATAGAACAATATTTTCCAGTTTGTTTAGTGGGATCTTTCAGGTTTTTGGACATGAAGTTGCATGAAACGTTCACCATCTGTAGCTAAGATGTAACAGTGTCCTTACAGTCACTGAGGCTCCTGCTATGAGAAACATCCGGTAACATACAGAAGAAAAGGTATTTCTGGTTTGGTGCAAGGGCACGAATAATCAAAGGTTTTTAAGCTAGAAAACAATACAAGTGTTTTGTTAGACTACTTCAACAATTAAAAAAAATCCCGGGGGCTATTTCAGACCTTAATTTCAACTGGGACTTGCTATCACTCTGTCGCTCAGATGCAAAAGAAATTTCCTGCGAACAGAATTAAAGCAAACAGCTCATCAACGGCCGATGAAGGGATCTATGACGGACAACAGAGGGGAGGTGAGGCAGCGTTCCGGAACTCAGAAAGGAGAAGCAGGAAATGCCGTCTCACCTTCTCTCTGTTGTCCTTACTGGATCCTATACGCTGGCCGTGCCAATTTCCATCGCTGGCCAAGTACACTGCAAAAAACATCTTGAAATAAGTAAAAAATGCCTTAAATTAAGTGTATTTACCCTTAATTTGAGCAGGTAAATAAGATGATCTGCCAATGGAATGAGTATTTTTACTCCTAAAATAAGATAATTAGATAATATACACTTAAAATAAGACAAAGCAATTGTTTTTTTCTTATTTTAAATGTAAATTGTCTTGTTCCATTGGTGAAGTGTCTCACTTACCTCCTCAATTCAAGAAAAAATGCACCTGATTTGAGCAAAAATTACTTATTTAGACTTCCATTTTTTGCAGTGTAGATTTCAAGCAAAAGCAGATGAGAGGCGGCGGTTTGCTGGTACTAACTCAGGAGGAGAACTGCGGAAGACTGGAGAAGTCTGCTGGGCAGACGGCGTGCCTGAGTGGGGATGAGCGGACTGATTTCTCTGCTGGAGGTAGGACTAAAAAACAGTCCCTCTAGGTCTAAAATAAAAGATCTTTTTTAAAGCCAACCAAAAAGCTGAGTTATACAGTATATAGGGCTAGCACATACTTTTCATTTCAAATAGTGGGGTAATAGGTCACTTTTTTAAACAGCTTTTAACGTGTTGATGAGCTGTTTAGTTTATTGCTGTTCGCAGGGAATGTGTTCGACATCTAAGCGGCGGAGTGATAGACGGCAAAAAATTGTTCTAATTGATAAAAAGGTCTGACATAGCTCTGGGAGTTTACAAAATTGTTGAAATACTTTAAGAAAACACATGCATAGTTTTCTAGCTTAAAAACCTTTGATGATTGGTGGCCCCATACCGTAACAGAACTACCTTCCCTCGTATGTCACCGGCTGTTTCTCATAGCAGGATGCGCGGTGATCTCAGTAACACAGTTACATCTTAGCTTCACAAAACATCATGTCTAAAAACCTGAACTATCCCTTTAACTTTGCACCAAGGCCAATCAATTCATGCAGCAGATGCTCTGTGTGTCAGAGTGAGGTAACTAACTCAGATGAGCCTTTGTAGTTCAGAATGAGGCTCCATGGCAACTGAATACCTTCACAGCTATCCACAGGAGTGAGTCCCTCTCCTCTGTTAATGGACCAGCACATCTTTGTAGGGATCCCAAAGTAGCCCATAACACCTGTGTACACGCGGTAACAGCTGGCCAGGACCACCTAAAGAGAAGAGAGAGGTAGTAAAAAGGCAGTTAATAAAAAAAAAAAAAAAAGTAGTTCCTTATTATCTCAGAGGAATTAAACAAAACAAGACATCCAATGATGTTCCGTCTTATGGCCCGATGCTTTTAACAGAGTTCCATGGGTTCTGATTCTGACCATAAGGGAAATCTTAACTGTCTGGAAACTTTTTAATTAGCAACCGATAACCTCCAGCTTCATGAAGTATAAATTAATCTGAAATAAAAACAACAAAATGTGACATGTTTTGATGAATAAAGCCAAACAAAGAAGAAAAATCAGAGAAAAATTTAAGGTTTATCACAAATGAACCATGTTTACCCAGTCACCACATAAACAGCGGGCAAATAAAGCTGTTAAAACAACTCTGTAGTCAACTCTTAGAAAACTGCAGCGAAGAGGGGCATCTTGAGGTCATTAGGTCTCCATAGCAACCACTAGAATCTTCATTCCCACTGGGAGGCATGTCTTCCCTGTCTTAAAATCGAAAGGATTTGCAGACGTTGCTGGGACTTTAACTGAACACCGCTCATAGGAGACTAGGATTAAACATACCAGGGGGGAACGCAGTGAAACTAAAGAACAAAGCCATTTGTTCACCGTTTAATAAGGTGGAGTATGCATGATAGGGAAGAGCTGATTCTTTTTCAAAAGGCCTGGGAACCTTGTTAGAGCCTGTGGCATCATGTGATACCAGCTTCATTTAAATGACACTCTGATGCAGTGGTGAAGTTTCTCAGTCATCCAGGTCATAGTCATTCTGAAAAAAGAAAATTAAAAACAATCTATTGGACTTGTTTCCAAGTTTGAAGACCTTTCGCTTCCCATCCAGGAAGCTTTCTCAAAATGAAAGCTTCCTGGATGGGAAGCGAAACGTCTTCAAACTTGGAAACAAAGTCCAGTAGATTGTTTTTAATTTTCTATTTTTGGAAGGAGACACTTTGATGGTTTCTGCAAGGAAACTAATGATGGGTCATCACTGGGTCATTTAGCAGGACAACTGTCAAATCTACACAGCAAACGGGCATGAGAACTGATAAGACCTTAATGCCTATATATCATGCAGCCTTTCTTTCATTGGGACCTTCACAGTCCTCAGACCTGTGTCCTATAAAAATAAAAAAAACCTGTAGGTTGTAATGGAAAAAAGAGAACAGAATAGAGGAAGCATTACTCTGGGGATTGAGAAAGTCATTGAACGTTAAGAGGCATGGAAGTAACAAAAGAGGGTGGCTAAAAGTACTGCAGGGGTGCTTTGGTAATCTTATTAAAAACACTTTTTTTCTCGTGGGATTCTTTTTTTTTTTTACACAATGAAAAAGAAATATGACACTAAAACTAGTAAAAGAACAAGCTTAAAACAATAGTTACCTCAGGATAGAGATTGAACCTCTTCAGAGTGTTGATAACCAGAGGATACTCAGTTAGTCGATCGTTCATGATCATGTGGAGTCCATCCATGAACGAAGGAGCCTCGATAATGGTCTTGTAGTAAGAATAGTACAGGCCCTGAAATCCACATAAGAGGTGAAGATAAATAAAAGACCTGGATAACAAACAAACTGATTCTGGACGTGGACTTAAGTTTTGCACATAATTTCATTTGGGTATTATTATTACTATCATTCTTATTTTTTATTTTTTTAGTATTTTTGTTAAAAATGAATAGAGGCCGCCTATTTGTTGGGTTTTTGTTCAACTTTATGCATATGAAATAAAACAAATATTAGTGGGAAAAAAAGAGAAAAATAGAAATACAGAACAAGAGAGAGTATAAAAAAAGATGATAAAAGACCACAGATCTATGCAGATAGATAAAATCTTCATCAAACTCAGAGCAGATGTGTTGAACAGGCTCAGCTTTGAACAGAGCCCATTTGGTCAAACACAGCAGAGTGAGACTAAATGTTAAATCTGACACATTAGCAGCTTTTAGGCAGCAACTCCACCATAAAGCAACTTGTTGCCTTCACCTGGAATTGGAAGTGAGCTAGATGAAAATTACTAAATAAATCCCATAATATAAGTTAACCATGTACAAAAAATCAAATAAATTCTGTATGCAGTCACAGCATTTTGACACTTAATGGTGGGGAGCTCAGACTGGTGAACAAAGACATGAACTCTGACCTTTGCTCAAACAAGATTGATCTGTATTTGTAGGTCAAATAAAAACAGTATTAGGAAATGAGAGACTCTTTTGCCTTGTCATCAAAACCAGCCTCTGACCTTTGTAGCATAATTGCTCAACATCCGTTTTCTTTCCTTTCCTTAAAACACATCAAAAGCCTTTAGTCTAGCAGAGAACCACTGCTATATGAATCTTAACAATTGCATTCAACCATACATTGATCATTACAGGCTAAAATTAACACATTTTAAATTACAGAATCAATTTATTACCGTTTACTGATCAGCTGTGGATCTATAATGACATAAAATTTCTCAAGATTTTTTTTTTCCTTTGGGTTTTTAGGACTCTTATTTAACAAAAACAAAATCAAACGTGTTACTCATTGTCTCAGAAACAAAATGCAGGATTTCTGCAACTAATTCTACCGCTAAAGACTGCATGCAGCAACACCATCCTCTATTAAGCAGTCTAAGTGGAAACATCTCTGTACAGACAGTTAATGGTCATTATAAAAAAAGATACATTTTCTTCCCTAACAAAAGCCACAACGTCAAGTTAATTGTGTAAAAGTGTGATTAGCTGTGAGTATAAATAGATCAGACATACTCACCAGACCATACACAACAAATACAAATCTCATAAAAACACTTCTTAACCTCTTAACAAGAGATGGAAAGAACAACAATTTCGACAACTTACCAACCAATACATTTCAAGAGAAATAAACCAACTACATATGAAAACAAAAAGCATGCAAAAGGCATTTGTATGGGTTTAAAACTTGAGAATTTCGAGTTGCAGTTCTAACAACACCTTGCAGGCTGTGTATAAAGCATGAGAAAGGAGGAAAGTTGCTACTTCTTTATTGTAATTCATGTGCAGATGTTTCCTGCTAAAGAAAAAACTAAAACTGAAGAAAGACTGATTTAAAAATAACCTACTACGCCTAGTGACTAAATAAAAATACTGACTTGAAATATTAAAAGTAAGCAGTGGCTTTAAAATAATCCCAACAGGTATATCCATGTTCAAAATGTCTTGATCCTTGCAGAGCTTTTAGGAGGTTGGATCTGTCTCCTTTAGATAAAGGGTTTGGTTAGTGAATGTTGAATCTGTTTCGGCTGCTCTTTATCCGTACTCCTAAGCTTCTAAAGTAAATAAGAAGCCTATTAACTAAAATGTTTTAGTGATAGTTTATATCCAAGCCTGCCATGCATGCTGTATAAGCACTGTGTGTTTCCAGACAAATCTGACTGGTTTATTTTGCTATTTAGAGATTTTTCCTGATGTATTTTACTCTGTAGCTGTGTCTCTCTGCCTGCCTGACTAATGATATACCCGTCATATTGCTGCGTAGGTCCTGAGCCCCCTGCTGTTCAGCCTGATGACACATGACTGCATCTCCAGGTTCACCACAAACACATTGTGAAGTTCACAGATGACAAACATGGCGGTGAGCCTCATCAGAGATGACAACAAGCAGGAGTACAGAGAGGAGGTGGAGCAGGTGGGTCTAGCTCAGTCGAGCACAGTTGCAGAAAATCATGACCAGTCCCTTTCTTTTTAAAGTAATTATTCCGCCTTAATCTGGTCTGATTCTCCCTCAGATCGGATGCTCAATCATGTCTAATGTGTTCCAGCCACTAAAGGAACCGGGATATAAACAACAGTAGGAAAATTAACAAAGCAGTTAATACAACCATTCCCTGAACTTAGAGTATTGTTTAAATAAATGTAAACAATACATTTACAATAAAAAAATTTTGGCAAACACTGAGGCCCCGTCCACACGAAGTCAAAACGAACACGAAACGCTGATATTTTCCAAAACGTTTGTCGTAAAGACGGAGACGTAAAATAAATGTGATCGTCCACACGAATACATGAAAACGCTGCAAAATGTATGCCAGGCCTGTAAGTGGCGCTGTGGTGCCAAAGCAAAAATAAGCGACGAAATGTTGGGCATGCGCACTAATATTTATACATGGTTGCCCTGTGGGTCCATTTTCGTGGTTCAGTCAAATTCAGGTGCTGAACTATGTCGTCGATATTGCTCTGTTCTTCCTGGAGATATTCCAGAAGAAGAAGATTCTGTTGTAAGCCCGACAGCAGGGTGAGTAGCATTAGCAGCAACCATTCAACACAGTACGGCGCCATTGTTGTTGTGATACTGTGTCGCGCATGTGTGTTTAGAGGCGACGATATGACGCATGCGTGTAAAAAAAAAAAAATGCGGTTAGAGCTTAAAGATGGAAACGCGAAAACGGCGTTTCAGAATCTTCCCACTCTGAAGGCTGAATAAAAAAAAGATCGTTTACAGACCCCCGAAACGCCGGCTTCGTGTGGATGAGAGGCTGGTTTGGTGAAAAATTTGTGCGTTTAGGCCAGGGTTCGGCTTCGTGTGGACGGGGCCTGATTCAACTACAAACTCCTTTACTGCTGCTAGATAATAAAGCATAGAAAAACTTTCAGAGACTGTGATTATATGAAGGATTCATTCATCAAAGCATCACAGCACCTTTTTTCCGACTAAGAATCAATCAGCAAACCAAGGGCATTAATTCAGCTCCAGTGTACTCAATTGCCTGTGATGAGTCAATGACATTGAACAGGGAGAACTCGTATGCAGGTATTGAAGGGAAAATAAACCAGTTAATCATGAATGCTTATTATATATTTAGGCCTACTTAGTCATTTTGATAATGGGCTAATATACACTTAGATTCTGTGTCGCCTTAGGAGGCTTATATAAGACTTTGCAGGTCCAGACAGGTTTGTTTTTGGTTTTTTGGTCCAATGTGACTCTTTGAACAATGTGAGTTGCAGACCCTTGCTCTGACCAATTTTTTTTAGCCCTATCCCTAAATTTAGTGCTTTCCCATGAGGGTAGTGATTTCCCAATTCCTCTTTGCATGTAGGGGTAGTGGACAAAACAAGGGGTAGGGCAGGGGTGCTCAAGTCCAGTCCTCAAGAGTTACTATCCTGCAACTTTTTCATGCACCCCATTTTTAACACACCTGAATCAAATAAGTGGCTCGTTACCTTTCATCTAATGGGCTTAATGAGGGGATTGAGCCTTTCGATTCAGGTGTGTTAGAGAAGAGATACATCTAAAAGTTACAGGATGGCAGCTCTTAAGGACTGGACTGAACATCCCTGGGGTAGAGGGTATGAATGTATCCCTTCCGAGTGAGGGATTGTGGATGCTGACTTAACAAAGAAAGGCCATAGAAAAGGTCCCACAAAACATGGAGGACAGAGATTCTACCGGGCAACTTGCCCGGTAGAATCTGTGTCCCCAGGTTCACCAGATTCTCCCATACAACAAAAGTAAGGTGGGTGGTCGGAAAAATCTATTCACTATCACAAACCTTCTCATGCAAATCCCTGTGCTGATTTCAATTTACTTACTTTTAAAGGTATCTGCTTTAGCAAAGCACCTGCTAGAGAAGGCTGAACACGTAGTCTTATCTTACTGATGTCTCAGAAGCTGTTGTACCGTTCTAGATGTTTTCTTAAGAGGCTAGCCTCCTTTAGACAATACATTATTTCAACAAATGCTTCAATTTGTGAGAAACTGTCTATTTTGTTTGTGAGAATCTCTTCCTGTCTTCCCTGTCTCTTCTAAAGTAGAGAAAACCTGTTTGAGCAAAACAGGCATTATTATTGACAACAGTATCTCTTGCAGGGTAAAACAAATAATAAATACTGGCTTGAATGAAAAACACCTTATCGCAAATTCTTGATTGATGAGACTTGTACATTTTTTCCATCAACAGGTGAGACGTGTTCTGGAACTCAGACAGGAGCAATGGGAAATTAGTTCCATAGCCCCATCAGCGAGAACCAGAACCAACACGAGACGTCCAGCTGTGCCCTCAATAAAGTTAAGCAACCACAACAGCAACAGTTTCTTCCCCACCGCCATCAGACTGCTGAAATGTTGAAAAAAAACTCTAAATCATGCCACAAAGTCTGCATCACAGCAATAACACCAAACCAAAAACACAGGATATTTGCACAATATACATCAATGCTTTGAACTTCCATATCAACGCGGTTTTTTTTTTTGCACCACGTTTTTTTCTCCCATACTGTTTATATTTGATCACTGCTGCACTTTAAGGAATGGAAATGTTCATTTACTGTCTGAAAGCTGTACTGAACAAAATGTATTTTTGTATACACTCCAAACCCTGTCCAATGTCCTTGAACAGGCTAGTTGGGATGTCTTCTGCGCTGGAGGTAGAACAACTGGGGTTATGTTAAAAAGGAGTTTTTAAAAGCCACTCAGAAACCTCTTAAGAGCATTCCCATTTGTCATCTTTATTTTCTCTATCACCCATTTAGGTTAAAAAAAGCTTTGTCTTCTCTCTTATGGTGGGACGTATCTTTTGTAAGTGGATACATAAATATGCAGTCGCTTATGAACCCGAACTTCAACTACGCAGAGAGGGGTGTCCCAATTCTGAGGAAAGATTATGAGGCCCTAACCGTTTAGGCTTCAGTTCAATTAAATTAGCAGCTAGCTAGCTCAAATGGTAAATAACCCTTCCTGCAAACAGGAAGTCTGTTTTTTTTTATCCCAGCTGGGGGGAAATGAGCTGCCTGTGTGGGTCTTTAGGCTAATGCCTGCATTGGGGAGTGGCGCCCTAGTGGTTAGGGCATTGCGCTTGGAATTAACCTGAGGTTCTGGGTTCAAGCCCCACTCCCATGGACCCTTAACCACACACTGCTTCCCGGGTGCCCCACAATGGCGGCCCCCCACTCCTCAAAGGGATGGGTTAAATGCAGGGAGTTTTCTGTACTTTTGATGATGTAATGTCACTAAAACTCTGGGAAAAAAGTGTAGTGCTAAGTATGGGGAATATTTGGATTGGGTATAAATGTGAAAATGACTTCCTGTCTGTTACGGTCCCTGGCCTTTTAAGACTGTGCAGGCTTGTTTTTTTTTAATGCAGGTTCAGCTCTGACAGAAAGCTTCCTTGTTGGCAGCCTGAAGGCTGCAGAGGAGCAGTGACATCATTGCACCAGCCGGAGATTGTCATGCCAATTAGATGTTGATGAGGCCTACCTGCACCATATAAAAGGCCCCTGGGAAGCTTTCAGTTTGGGGACAGCTAGTAGGAAGAGGTTTTGTTAAGCTGTTCCCCCCACCTTTGGTTTCAAACTGTTTCGGGCAGTTAGAACTCTTTGCCCTCGCTTGTTCTGTATATTTCTCTGAATCTGCTTTAGGTGGACTTTGATCAAGCTAGAAGCTTGTGTTTGGGAGGTTTGGCGCTCCCTTTGTCTTTTCTTTTGGGTTGTTTAGAGTTAAAATTAGACTGACTGGTTTGAACATTTTGTAACATCATTTGCACATAACCGTTCTTAAATTTGTTCCCCCATTTTTTTGTTTTAATTGGGTTAAGTTGTATTGTGTTTTGATTTTGTGAAACCATCTTTTGTAATGAGTTCACATTCCATTTATTTACTCTGGACACATTTTTATGTTACCTCCCCAAAACCCCTAGACCTGGGGTTGGTAACCTGCGGCTCCGGAGCCGCATGCAGATCTTTAGAGTCCCTGGAGCTTTTTCAAAAATTTATGAAAATCTTTTTTTTTTGTTTTAATATGGTATGCAGGAGGTCAAACAAAAATGTATTACGTTTTCCAATGCTGAAAACATTTGTACAAAAAATAAATGTAAACAATAATTTGCCATAGCCATAGAGAACAGTATTGACAACTTGCAACCAACCAGCGTGGCGCGGTGCAAAAGGAAGATGGCTGATGAGAAAAGAGGATTCGAAGAATGGACTGAATCATTTGCTTTCATTAGCAATGTGGAAGGATTGCCTGCAGAACGATTGCAGAACTTCTGAATGCATTTAGGGGAGCGCAAAGATAGATTTAAGAAGTGGATCGCATCTTCAAACTCCACTACTGCTGCTAGTTTTGTTGCAAGGATGGAAAACCGTCCACAGATCAAACAGGTAATGCTCTATATGCAGGGATGTGAACTTTCTTCTATTTTTTTCCCCAAATCCTAATAATATAAATCACACCAAGGAACGCTGGTGACGGAGGATGTGGGTTGTCAGGGTTAGAGAGCACAGCTCTGATGGATGTCAGTTCCTGCTTGATTCCTCATGGTTCAATCAACTCCTAACAGAAACGGATCCACCATAGATTTCTTTATCATGTTTCTACAATTTCATCAATGCAACAAAATCTAAACCAGGCGTTGAAGGGCGGTGAAGTGGTGCGCGGTGAGAGCGTTCACTGCTCGTGCTTAAGCTCATGCTGCTATGTGACATTTGCTCCAGGATAAACATTTAATAATGAATGTTTATCATATATTTAAGCCCACAAAGCCCTTTTCTATAGTGGGATAAATACACTTAGAGCCCGTGTTGCCATACGAGCCATATATATAAGACTTTTAAATTTTTGCAACTCCAGACAGATTTATTTTTTGGGGGTTTTTTTGGTCCAATATGGCTCTTTGAACAGTTTGGGTTGACGACACCTGCCCTAGACCTTGGGATGTAACACTGTCACTTAAGAAAATGTGTTGCTAGCCACATGTTCCAGGTCTGGGTGGATGACTGAGTGCTGACAGGGACACTGGCAGTCAGTGGCATGTAAAAAGGAAAGACCAATTTGAACCATTCAATTTAAAGGGATAGTTCGGGATTTTTGACATGAATCTGTATGGCATCCCCATCACCAGTGTCATGCAATCACACTGACTTACCCCTGGCAGCATCCTGTGAGCAGAGTTCTCGTCCAGCTTTGGTCAAGCCGAAAGTAGTCCGGCAGGTTTGCTAGACCCAGCGAAATAAAACGTTTCTCTTCCCAAAACATTATGTGTTCAAAAGAGTGATATTTTTGCATCCCAAAAACATTGTAGTGGAAAAAGTCACACGTCGTTATCACTTGGTCCTATTTTCTCTCTGTTCGTATCAGTGCGCGCGACACCATGACCTGACAGCTAGGGCCTACTAACCTGACAACAGCCAGATGCATGTCTCGCTCCGCCTAGCTAGGACATGCATCTGGCTGTTGTTGAGCTCGCTGTCAGAATGACGGCGCGCACTGATACGAACAGAGAGAAAATAGGACCAAGTGATAACGACGTGTGACTTTTTCCACTACAATGTTTTTGGGATGCAAAAATATCGCTCTTTTGAACACATAATGTTTTGGGAAGAGAAACGTTTAATTTCGCTGGGTCTAGCAAACCTGTCGGACTACTTTCGGCTTGACCAAAGCTGGACGAGAACTCTGCTCACAGGATGCTGCCAGGGGTAAGTCAGTGTGATTGCATGACACTGGTGATGGGGATGCCATACAGATTCATGTCAAAAATACCGAACTATCCCTTTAATAAAGCAGCAACCATAGATCAAACAACTTTAAACTTCATTAAAAATAAAATACAATTTAAAGCATTGCTGAAATCAAAACAAACAGACTCAAACTTTTACCATTTCTGTTCGGAAAGCCATCTCCTTCTCCAGGTTTGACAGATGGGAAAAGTGCCTGTCATTCTCAAAGAGCTGAGACAGATGGTACCTATCCACAAGGGAAGAGAAGAAGTGTGAAAACAAAGGAGGGGAAAGCAGAACATCAGTGTATAACGCAGTAGTTTCAGCACTACAGCTCACCAGTGCAGATATCCAGTCAGCCCAGCTGAGGAGAGACAGATTTTAAACTTTAAATGTTCTGCTTTGCAACTGTTTCCTCTTGATATAAAAAAAACCACACAGATAACGATTCAAATATGACTGAATAATATCCTGTTTGGTTTTTAAATAGATACCAAAGAGTTGACTTAATGTGAAAGGATGTTAACACGTGACTAACTGGTGAACAACACAAGCAAAAGAGAGTTTGTTATGAGAGGGTCCACGATAACGACCACCAGAGAGCTAGCTAAGCTAACAGTTAGCCCAGTGATGGTTAACAGATAATTTCCCAGGTTTACCGCTATAACGGCGTCACTTTACCAGTTAGCCCGCGTTAGCTTGGGGTTTCTGGGCATGCTAGTGGGTTAAAGCTCAGAACTTACCAAGTAGCACCGTGACACCCAGCTTCCAGACCGAGCAAGAAGTTAGCCCGAGCTTGTGCCCGATTCCTGCCAGCCCGTTTGGGTGAGAGAAAGCCTTGCTCTCCCTGCCTGGTCGCCGTATGTTACTTTTGCTGTGAGGTGAAACATGGTGAAGGTTTCTATCGCGCTCGGTCTGGGTCTGACCCGGACTCTTCCCGATCTGTTTCCTGGTTTTAGCCACCATGGTTTTCAGAGCGGAGGTTCGGGGAGCGAGCTGGAAGAGCAGAAGGGTGTGCGAGCAAAACAGCTCGTCTCCTATCTGCTCCTCAGATCTGCTTTACTACCTGAGAGATGCTGCGACGAGTGACTCGGTGCAATTTTAGTAAAGCTGCGCCCTCTGGTGGACATGAAACAACACTACAGTGAGATTGTAAGAGCTGTAGCCATGGCAACACATAGGCACGAATTCCAGTTGGCGTCAGGGGCGGAGCTAGATTGGGGGCCCTGGGGCGCCCATGGCCAATCTGTGGCCACCCCTACCATTTTGTCCCTCTAATACAGATGGTGGCAGCAGTAATACTTTCAAGTGGAATATTTAAAACATTTATATTTTTCATATAGTATCAATTACTTGACAACAAAAAGTGCTGTGGTTAATTATGCATATCAATGTACTAATATTAAAAATGATAAGTACAGAATTCCTGCTCTTTTCAGAACTAGATTTTGTGTTTTATGGGGTAAAGAGAGAATTATGTGTCTCTGCAAGTCATTTAGGAGTCTTAAGTAAAATCATAGATAAATAACTATTTTTGTAAAAATGTATTAAATAAATAATTTATGTAGATACTAGTACTTGTAAATATCAATTGTATGCATAATTATTATTGATAATAGTAGGTGAGTAATGACAAAGGAGAAGATGTTCGCCCAAAACTCAAACCTGAAAGAATTGTTTCCACTATACCTTTAAACTAGAAAGCTCAAATGTTGAAATACATGAGTCTATTTGTTAGGAAAGGCTGTAGGAAAGTATAATTAGTCTTTGTTTAGAAAATATGGATGTTGTGCTTGTTAATTTTCCTGTTGGAACAGTGTAGATTGACCCTGAGGTTCTGGCGCCTATCCACCTTCGGCCACCCCTCAGTGTATATTGGTTTTCACCTGGCCATCCTTATAAAAACTTTCTGGCTACGCCTGTGGTTCGCGTGTCTCCCTACAGATAACTTTGGGTGGTCTAGACAGGGGCAGAGGTAGATGGGGGGCCAGGGGTGGCCTTGACCCCCCCCCCCCCCCCCTTAGCCAATCATTGGCCACCCCTGTGGCCACAGCTACCATTTCTTCCCTCTAATACTGATGTTGGCAGCAGTAATACTCTTAAGTGAAATATTCAAAACATTTTAACTTTTCATACATTAACAATTACTTGACAACAAAAGCACTGTTAATTATGCATATCAATGTACTAATATTAAAGATAAGTACAGAATTTCTGCTCTTTTCAGAACTAGAGTTTTTGTTATATGGGGTAAAGAATAAATTATATCTCTGCAGGTCATCTAAGAGTCTTCAGTAAAATTATAGATAAATAAGTAGTTTAGTAAAAATGTATTAAATAATCAATTTATGTAGATATTAGTACTTGTAAATATCAATTTTATGCATAATGATTATTTATAAAAGTAGGTAAGTAATGACAAAGGAGAAGATGTTCGCCCAAAACTCAAACCTGAAAGAATTGTTTCCACTGTACCTTTAATCTAGAAAGTAAACATTGATATTTCCAATAAGAGTATGTCGGGGAAAGAATACCTTTTAAACTTTTTTATTCTGTTGGCAAAGTTCCACATACATGCCTGTTAATTTGCTAAAAACAAACCAAACCTTTTTTTTTTTTAGAATCCCTTCAAAATGTGCACCAACTCTAAAGCTTTGAAACTTAAAACCCTAAGTGAAGCAGTTCATTTGTAAACTGTTTTTTGTTTTTTTTTCTCTCTCCTTTTTTGTCATGGAATCCTGTGGATTTGTTATCCCACACGTACGACTGTTTGCAATATATTCAGTATATTCTGTATTTATAAATAAAGTAAAAAAAAAAAAAAAAAAACTGCAGATAACTTATGCCGGAAAAAAGAAGTGACAACGTAAAAAAACCCCATAAGTTTAGAGCATTTTCTTAAATATAATGAAGGATGTTGCCATGAATTGAGGTGTTTAAATTGAGCAAGTTTGTTTTTTCTCCTTTTTTATTAAATACTCTGCTGTTTTTATGCACATATATGCTCAGAATTCCCTTTCAAACCTAATTAGCTGCTCTTTTTTACTCTGTATGGATTTTTCCATTGCACTTATTTATTCTGCTGTGAACTTCTTCCCCTACTTACACCTACATTTCCTCAGGGAAAGGACAACTCTATTTATATTCAATATTGAAAGCAAAAAGTTTACGAAAATCAGAATATTATAAAAAACATTAAAGCAACAACAGCAAAAAGAAACATTTTACCCACAGTGAAAATGTGTGGAAATCCAACAGTGTGTGGTCTCACACAGCTTGTAAATACCAATTTGAAGTAGAAAGAAAACCAGGAAAGAAAAAATGGACAATAGATTATCATTTGAAATATACTAAGAAAGCCTCAGAACCAAGAACAAACAAAAAACACTTGCAAATCATTCTGCATTGAATAAAGAGAAATTTATATAACGTTTAGTTCAATTAAAATTTGAAGTCGTTCCAATCGAAAACTGATATTTTTGATTTGAAAATCTGAATTTTATTTACCTAAAACTGAAAGAAAATCTATCACTTTCCGTGGAAAAATAAGGAACTGAAATAATTTTTAGTCCCTGAATACTTTCTACTAAGAAATAAAGCAATCAAAAAATAAAAAAAAGCAAAGATAATCATATTCTTCCAGCAGACACAGCTTATTAGAAATATAATGTCCTATTTACACTTCCTTCTAGGTTAGTGACCATTCCCACTTTTTTCAATCCAGTTACAAAAAAACAAAAATCAATCAATAAATAAAATTAAAATTAATAAAAATCATCATGCAGTAGCAAATCTGACCAGTAGATGTTACTGCAGGACTATAATCTTTTCCTTTAGCTGCTAAAATGTAGCTAATGGTTTTAATTGTATTCCTTAATAAATTGGCATGTTCTCATTTTCCTTTTCTTAACCAATACAAAATAAATAGAATAGTGAATTTGTAAATGGTATTTGAGAGGGCAGATTATTTCAGAAATAACATTTACTACAGTGTTCAGAGAAGTGAAACCTGCCCATCTTTTCCTATTGCGTTAACAGACATTTAAATGTCAGGAAATATGAGTTCATCTGCTCTGTTTTTTTGGTCTTGGGGAGCAAAACTATCACAGCTGGAATAGTGTGTTAATTTAGATTTTTATTAAAAGGTTAAAATCATCAATTTTTTTCTGGGATTAGATTTTTCAGTTCCTTCTTAAGGCTACAGCTAATAAAAGAGTGTGTCACAAATTTAAGACAGCATAGAAATGTGCTTTAGTTTGTGGCCTGTGTATGCTGTGCTTCAACAAAGTCTTTAATCAAAATTTTCTCTTGCTCTATTTTTCTTTTAATTTATTGCATAGACTGTACAGCTATACAAAAGTAAGAACCACTTACATTTGAAAATGCAAACATAATTGTGCAAATGTTTTGTTCTTATTTCAAGTTTGGCACTTACCCGTATGTATTTTAAACATTCACAAAAAGCAAACAAGATATTTTCATTTTTATACATTTACACCTTATAAACCCTATGAACCTTATATTGTGATTTTTTTGTTTGTTTTGTTTTATTGATTAAATAGTTCTTAACTGATCCAGCCTGCAAAATCATGTCAATTAACTGATTATACTAACTTATCTGAATCTCACATTATAGCATCATTACAGGGAGAGAAAGAACAACTGGTATATACAAACAACAATCTTAAACATTATTTCAGGATAGTTTTCCATCTTGTTTTGTTGTTAGCCATCAGGTGCCACAAAATATCAAACATTTTGACATTCCACCATAGAAAATAAGATTGGATGTATGAAGATAAAGAGAAAAATGTCAAAAAGACAATGGATTTATTAAGAGTATCCTCAGTATCATTTGTGCCTTACTGCCAAATGATCCACTCAGTCCTTTCTTCCCTCATATATTTTTTAGATATTGCACAAATTATCTTTGCAAGTAACATGTGTGATGTGTAATAAATAATAACATTGTTTAAAAAAAAAATCATAAGTTCAGAAATTGAATAATTGATTAACAGACAGACCCCAAAACAGCAGAATTCCTTAATTAAAACCCTAAAAAAGTGGAAACCAAAACCTACAAAAACTAAGTTTTTTTTAAGCTTGTTTCTATTAAAGTTAAAATTTTAGAGCCTTTTGCCTGATTTCAAGTCTTTATTTTGTACAAAAGTTTGATCCGAGGACGTTGATTTTAGTAAATACTGATTTCTCTTCAAGAGCTACAATGAAAATGAAAACTGTTCTTTAAAACCTTCCCACTATTAACAATATAATATCCATTCAGTAAGATGGTTGTCAATAAAAAACAGGGTTTCACTATTTAAAAGGATTTGGAATCATTTAAAAAAAAAAGGCAACAGTTTGTTATTATGATGGAGAAACTAAAAGACACAACCATGTCTGAGAGTTTTCAATAAGATTCAAACATTTCCAGATCTAACAAGCTCCAAGACATAAATGGGTTACAAGCTCCAAACACTTCTTACATCCTTCCTGTTACCTGCTAAAAGTCCTGCTCTCTCTCAGTTGAGATATATGCTTTCTGGACATGCCACAGTAAATAGTTTCCTTTAAAATTAAAGAACTCATACTTAAAATATTTTTTTTATAACTTGCTGGTGAATATTCCCAGTCATCCAAGTCGCAGTCATTCCAAAAGAGTTAAAAAACAATCTGCAAGACTTTGTTTCCAAGTTTGAAGATGTTTCGCTTCCCATCCAGGAAGCTTTTTTTAATTAGAATTGTCAGGAATAGAGCTGTGTTGGCTTTATAGGGTGGACCAAAGCACTTGTACAGTTAAAACTTGTAACAAGAATCAAACATCTGGAACGTAAAAATAGAACCTACCATGATGTCAATATCCATGTCAACTTGAATTAAATACAGATGCCTTGATCTAAAGTGCTTTACACAGCATGAAGGAAATCTCTCCCTCTCTCTCTCATAGAATCCCCCCAACCCAACCC